AGCCGGGTCGGTTCAGAGTGGCAGGACATCGGGTTTTGTTTATTGAAAGCTTTTTCCCTTCTTAACATGGCTTACCGTCTTCATGGTTCTGTATATAGATACCGCCTAGGACGTTAAACTAGAACAATGAATGATAAGAGTTAAAGAGGGAGGATGGATAAATATATATGAAATGGCACTATCAGCTAGGAGGTCGAAGCAACATCATAGGGTAATGGCTCCTGATAATACTTTGCTCGGTTGCAAGTATTAGGCATAGGGGAAAGTTATCAATTAGCAGATTCACGAGGCGGATCAAATTTTATGAGTACCTGTTTGTCGTAGCTAGAGATTTCTTTTCTCTTCATATAGTTTAATAAATCGATTTATTCATCAGCAACTCGGTTTCCGTCACATCTACATAGTGGCCGCACTTCGAGTCTGCTGTACAAATATTCGCGATACAACCGTAATTTTGGCAATTGAAGCATTGCATCATGCAAAAGCCGGTCCTGAATAATCTGTTGACTTCAGCTCCTTTTTTTTTGCATCAGATTTGAATTGCGTATGCAGCTATCTAGCTATGACAAAATATCAGAGAAAAGTACAGAAAAGATGACTCTATTTACAAGAGGAGCACTCATGCCTCGGATTTCATTTGCAAGTACCAATGCGATTCTTTTTGGCTTTCCCAGATATGCAGAGCATACTGAGCAATTACACCGGCACCACTGGAAGGTGAAGAATTCGTCTTTGCCGGCCTGAAATACTTTAAACTGCGCGAACTGGGCATACTTCCGATAGATATCTAGCCTTCAATATAATAGAAAAATGCTCAGCACCAAGGGGAGTGCGGGGATGGGGCTTGAGATTACCCAAGCTACGACGGTGACCATTAGTCTAGCGGTAAAACTTCACCTACTTGTGTAGACAAAGCTGGTCGGGCCTGCTGACCTTCCTATCAGTACATTTTGAATTTTATTTTATTATACTGATTTAGGGCCCATGGGCCCATGCAGGTGTTTACATTCTATAATATTTACCCGGGAGGAAATCTTTATGGTGAAAACCTCCCACACCTTTCTACTTGTTGTCTATAGTTCTCACATATTTTCTTCAGGAAGCGCAGTTACACTATAGTGCCATCTATATAAACTAACCAGATCATCTCTACCCGCCCCAAGCATTATTTGGCCTTTTCCTTTCCCTCAGCAGTATTTCGACCGCTTATGTCATCTGGAATTGCTCTATCCAATTATGGTTTAGGATCCACTGTGATATCCTTTTGATATCTCCAGGATTGTTTATCATCGCTTCGAAGGATCGATCTTTGGGTTGTGTCCAGATCTCAGCTCTACCATTTGACCATCGAAGGCAGGACATAATCATATGCTTGGGGTTCTGTGATTGGTAGCCACACGGACAACCTGGATTTAATACTCCGGGTACTTTTCTTCTGTGTAAATACGAGTTAAGCCCCATATGCTCACTTCGTATTTGCATTGCCAAACTGCTTTGGGCCCTTGTCAGGTTCATATCAGTACATTGATTTTATACTTAGCAGTGGAGTTCATTAGTTAAAATTTACTACGTGATACCGTGTCCCACGAATCTTTCTCAACAATTCTTAACATGGACAATAATCAGCCAAAACCAAATTGGAAAAGGCTTGCCACTCGCCGCTGACTACAGATGTAGATAGATAACGATACTTTGACATTGCATCCTTGTGCCGTGAGAGAATTGGCTGGTAGCACGAGGCGAGGCCGGAAAATTGATGGCATATCTCAACCGCGGATTGGGTCTGCGGAGAAGAAAAGATCTACAATCTATTCCCAAGTTGCTCCAGCCCTCTGATATCTCTTTTCCTACTATCAGTTTGAGAAATATGGTACTACACATCTTCTCTCAAGCAACAGCATAGGTGTCCAGGACTCTCAGTCTTCTAGTGACCAACTCGAATGGCTGACCACTGGACCACACGGCTAATCATTAGGTCTGGTCCATCTTTATCACGGCAATTTCCAGGAATGCCCTAGCGCTTGGCCATGCATGGCTCAGGAGTCCAAGGGTCACAATGCTACTAGCGCCCAAAAAGGTATAGCGTTGAATAAATGCCCTAGGCCTGGCTAGTCAACGGCCAAAAGGGGAACGTCTGCATCCACAGAGCTGCCACCCGAGACTATTCTCTGGGGTGAAGGATGGAGGAAATTTCGTCGACATCCCTTCCGACCTCACGCATCATTAATGTTCCGGATGTGATTTTCATGCGACATGGAATTTACCATTACTTGTCCGTCCAGGCCTCACTTGAGGCGGCTAAACAGATAGAGAAAGTTGGCCTAGTTTCAGGGCCCTGTACCACCCACCGCTCTCTGCCAAGCCTAGAGATAACAGAGACGTAGCGCGACGGCCTGTGATTATCTGGGAAGAGCAAAGGGACGATTAACGTAGATCAGCTACAAAGAGAACTAATCTATCCTAGCGGACAATGCATCTCGCCGTTGCCATCGTAACTGGCAAGGACCGTGCTATGGTGCTTCGAAACAGCGAAGTTGGTACTTTAGGTGAATCACTCCTATGAAGACCATCAGCAGATTTATCCGGAGACTGATAAGTCTAAGACGGAGAAGGCTGGCCGGTGTCGCCCATGTTAATCCACAAGTCGGCTGTGCGGGATGAAGTTTATATACAAGCACGCTCGTCGATCCTTCACACCCGACTGCGGCCTGCGAGCCCCTACATCTCACGCGTGTCAAGCTGCAGGGACAGAGTTTCATCACCCTCGTTTCGGGTGTAACAAGCGAATGTGCTATTCTTGTATGATAGCAATGTGAAGTCGATGTTCTAACAACGACCGCTTCCTCCCGCAAGTATTTCCTGTGTTTTTTCCAGCGAGTGTGGTCCGGCCCACCCGTTAGAAAATCTTCAACACATTAGGATATAGACTTAAGCAGCTTCACATCATACTTGAAACTTGGGCATTTATTATGCAAGGCTAAAGACAAAACTCGGCATGCGTAGCCCCTTCTAGCACAGCTCGCTCTGGGGTGGAGTAACGCCGATCAAAGTATGTTCGGTGTCTGTACAAGCCTTTACTTGTCCATTAAAGCCCTCTGCTTGATATTATTTTAGTCACACCATTGATATTGTGCATAAAAGAACACCCAATGAACTCATTCTAGCTCCCCGCGTCTATTGCTCTAGCATTTACAGCTACAGCAGACCTAACTTCTCGAGAATATTAGCAACTTGTGACACGATCAAGTGAGGAAGGATGGAAGAGTGATACATCGGAAGTTTAGTGCCTTGACCACCGAGCTTCATCTGAGCTCGCGTGCCCAAACTTCAATTAGATATCGATACGCAAGGAAAATTTGTTGGATATTTTAGCAATTATAATGAACAACCTACCTCAACCCATGAGCAAAAGACCACAATAGGTTGCCGGCGAATTAGGGCAGGATTAGGGATTTCAATATGTTGGATAATGTCCGAGGTTTTGAAAGTGGGGGAAGACAGAAAGCGATTAGTCAAGCGACATAGGACGCATGAGATCTTTTTCAAATCAACTGGCATTTGTCAGACTATTCTGAATCATGAGGGGTGCTCTGGTTCCTGCATACCGTTACTGCTGGCTACACTTTGTTTCCATGTCAAATTAATACTCATGACATGGTCGGGTGCGGTATCAGCAGTATGCTTTCTAAATCAGGTGTCATGAAATATCCTGCCAAGCAACATAAGCTTTTCGCTGTATGAAGATGACCTGGGTTTGACTAATTTTGCATTCGCCGGCTCCGTCGGGCCAGAGCTCCGTTGGCATTGCTAGGGGAACCGCTGAACAAAAAATAACCTTGACCTCATCAAGATTGGTCGGTAAAAAATATTCTTATCAGGACAGGGTCAAGCTTTTGACGTCGGGTGCCCCCTGCTAAAGTCTTATATTTGCGGTGCATGGAAAGTTCGATTGGCTGATCTCGTCGTTTATCAAGCTAGTTGTCTCGTGTCCCGAAGGGGTTTTGATGAATCCGAGAGCTGGAGATTGTGTTCGGAATATTTCCTTGCCACAGATAACAGCGGACAAAGCTATGCTGCAACGCCCTTTAATCCTCTTTCTTGGGTCCCGGGAATTGGACACCGTTGACAGATCGATAACCTGAAATCCATTAACCCTTGCATCGAGGGGAAGCTAGGAACGACTAGCAGAGGGTACATCATGTCGGTGCGCAGCTGAATTGAGATAATCTTAGTTATCAGAGGAGAAGGGAGTGCATGGTACGCTGGTGAGTTCCTTGGACCAAGTAGAAAATAAACATCGTGCAAGTGGATCGAATTACCGCCTGGGAATCTCAATTGAGTCTGTAATTCAACAAAAGAGGCCCTACCAGGTTTGACGGTCGAGAAAGTTCAAGTTTTCCCCTTCCCGCCCTGCGGGCAATTGCAGGCTCATGGCTCTAGAGAAAGAGGGCTTTCTAGACATAGCCCTACATTGATATCAAGCAACTTATTGCGGCACAGGCCATCACCATTGTCCGGTGGTACCTGACCCAGATAATGTAGTGAACACTCCAAGCTTTGTCCGATGAGGTGTGTCGGAAAGAGAGATAACGACCTGCGATATGGAGGTTGGAGATGGATGGGTCGTTCTGACCGCATCCTTGCCAAGGTATTACAGACGGCTAGGGCGACCCTGACGCTCAGTGGAAAACGGCTTCGACTGTAATGGTGCGCCATCCAGCCCCGGAAAGATAAGGACGCAGGTGAAAGATTAGACAGAAATAAATTGCAGCGTAATCTGCGGCTCGCTAAGTCAGCCCCTGCTATCGCTATCCGCCATTTCTAATCAATAATTCTTATCTCTCTTACCTACGGTGAGTGAGCTTATATGAACAGCATGTTCCGACTTGTAAATAATAAACTATCATCAATCTGAACCAGAACGTCTTCACTAGTCCTCGTGGACCTTCCAATCCTCTCACACAGACTCTTTGAAGACGTAAATCTCACACCTCGCCATCATGGGCTCAATCGAAACGCCTATCCCCTCCACATCTCCCCAAAATCCATGGGTCACCACACCCCTAACCCACTCCGAAGCCCTTTCAACTGCAGCAGGCTGGTAGGTAAATCCCTTTAAACACCTGATCAACATGTGAGATTGGCCTTTCTGACCAGCCATCAATCATTTAGCAATATATACCTTAAACTCGAATCTCATCAGCCTTCAAACTCCTTCAAATCACGCGGCATCGGCAATCTGCTCGTGTCCTCCGTCCGATCTCCCAATACCACTAGCACTCCGCACTTCTAGTAAGCGAAATTTCATTGGTTCCTAAAAAAATGTTTCAGAATCGTTCCAATCTTCTGTTCATTTGCCTTAAGTTACTCGTTACTTATGCCATATAGCTGTGCATCTGGCGGTAATGCCGGCCTTGCGTGTGCCACTGCTGCCACTTCTCTTTCTCTCTCTACCACCATTGTTGTACCGCAGACGACCAAGCCACTTATGATAGCCAAAATTCGTGCACTCGGCGACCGCGTTCGTGTTCTTCAGTTCGGAAAAAATCTGGGTGATGCAGATAAGTACCTTCGGTCTGAGCTGTTAGCACATGACCCGCATGGTGTATATGTTTCGCCATACGATCATCCGGCCGTCTGGGCTGGCAATGCCACTCTTATTGACGAGCTTGCTACGCAAATTCCGCACTACGATTCGATTGTGTGTTCTGTCGGAGGCGGCGGGCTTCTCGTTGGGCTCATTGAAGGGCTTGATACTTATGGCATATTACCAGACACGACTATAGTTGCCGTGGAAACCCGAGGAGCCGAATCACTAAATGTATCTTTGCGCAAGGGTGAACTCCTACGTCTACCTGCCATTGAGAGCATTGCTACCAGTCTCGGTGTGTCACAGGTGGCCGCTCAGGCGTTTGAACTGGCAAAGGCAAACGATGTAAAAAGTGTCGTAATCAGCGACGCGGAGGCTGCCTGCGCCTGTGCCGTTCTATGGCAAGCAGAGAACGTTTTGGTTGAGCCAGCATGCGGGGCCAGCATTGCCGTGTGTCTAAATGGTGATCTTCGTGCTTCATATTCACATTTGACAGACAGAGAATTCTCATGCTTGGATATAGTAATAGTGGTTTGTGGCGGATCAAATGTCACCACGGCCATGCTAGGCGAATGGATAGACGTGTATGGCGGCGAGAACGAAGTAAGGGACTGGTTTGTCGGCAACCAGTGGGTTGGCGGAAGTTACCCAAAAATTTGTGCAGATGGTCCACTGGATTCCATCATTTGAACCTACCACTGTTATTAGCGCCTACTTGATGATTGGATATGATGGGTTGACAGAAAGTGGCGTTGGTCATGGTGGAATGACATATGGGGAATTGTATATTTACAGGCGCGTTGTTTTACAGTCATAGCTCGTCGCGGAAGCCCCGTTACAATGACGGATTTGGTGTCGGAAACAGATGTAGTGTGGAAATAAATCTGATACTATGCTTCACGCACGTTACCTTTTGAACTTGGTTTTTGAGTTCCAATGCATCATCTGCCGATAACCATCCCCTGAGAAAAATGCTGATTTTTATTTCGTTGCAATTAGCTTAAAGTACAGACTCTAGTCTTGTATGAACTTGATCTGTCTCTTTCCCCTAGCCCGTGGAGAATGAGGTAACTTGAAACCCAGTACCTAATTCCTTGGAAGAATCTCCTGTAAATCTCTTTGTAATGCCTAGGGCCACTATTACTAGGATCTTGCTATCGTCCGCGAATTAGCACATAGATTATGCAAAGGATTGAAATCATCTAAATTTGCGGTCGGGTAGTGCGGTGGTATCACGTATACTTTGGCCTTCCAGGTGCAACCTGCTGTTCCTAGCAATTCGCCTACAACACTCCATACACTTTTGGGTTCAATTCCACAAAGTCAAGTCAACTGTAGGACGAAGGCTGAACAACTGTCAGTGGTTTCCACTACGAACCTGGGAGTGAAACATTCTACCAAAATCGAGATTCAGTCACGAGAAGGGTTGGGATGAATTTTATTTGTTGGATATTCGACTTGAAGGAGTTGCACTCGATATTTTGGCCGAAAAATCAGTCGGCAGAGATTTCACAGCCGGAACAAAGTTGAACAAAAACTCATCATCACCAACATACGATTCACGAATGGGCTTAGGCCTGTCTGGGAGTCGTATTCAAACATCCGACATCTCTCAAACTCCTTATATATTTGCAACGATCCATATCTCAGCCGATCTCACACATGCGACCCTCCTCTATACTCGTCACGTCACCTAACTACACACGCCCTAACGAGGAAAGTCATGATGGAAACAGGACGTGTATAAAGGATGAAGAAAAGGGAAGATACACCGAGGGGATTACACAAATCCCCAATGACGAAAACAACCCAACGGCACGATATGAAGGTGCAAGGCTAGAGCAACGATGATCTCTTGGACGGCATTTATATTTCGGAGTCAATGAAGATTTCAAGGCATCGGGCGCGTGGTGGCTGAGGCTAGGAGGAAATTGCGCTACGGCGTGTATACAGCGGGTTTCTGGACGGTTAGGCTTGGTATAATTCAACACATAGGTGAAGTCTGAGGTAGTCCGGTCATTAAAGTGGGACGCGGTTTATCTGTACTTCACGATAGTCAACCTGATCCGGCCCAACCCCACTCACGCTTAAACTCCAATAGGAGTGCAACTGTAGTCTTGTAACCTGGCACGTTAATGAACAAAACAGTCAAGTCAAGTCGAATGAATGAATATTTTATTCGTGACGGGCACGAGCCCTGCACTCAAAGAGCTTGACACGGAGATTAGCTTCTCCGACGACTATGTACGACGATAACTCAGGTTGACATTTGGACTATTCATTTAGTGGGTGCATTCGCTGATACCACTCGAGACCTTGGTGCTAAGGACTTTCACCCTTCCCTCACCCGTTAATATCCACCAAAGGTAAAACAGGAAAAACCTTTGACTACCCTGACATGCCTTTATAATCTTGCATATGGCCACAGCGCGAGTTTTGGCTTCACAGTCCTCCCTTTCTCGAGTGAGGTAGGTGTCCAGGCTACTAAGACTTCAATCCGAGAAGATGATGACCAGGAGACAGAGCAAAGCACCTTCCATTGTTGCCTGTTTTTAGAGTGTCGGTAGCACTATCCAAAATCGTTGCCTCTGCGCCCACAGACACCCTTAAGTCGAGAACAATCAAAGAATATGCGTCCCAGCATGCCCATTTTCGCCCCCTTCACTAGCTCGTCCCACGTCCCAGCTGCCTGTCCTCCCTCAAAATGTGAAGCCTCAGTAGAGCAACAGCCCCCCATAGACCAAGACCTAAGCTTTGTAGATTATGACTTAATTTCCTCCTCGCGGGTATACATTTCCTCGTAACTTTACAGTGAGAGATTGTCGATTTTCGATGAGGCAAAAACTCGATTGCAATTGGATTAAGACCATCATCGAAAGTCGAGGCGAGTTAGTTTGTGGTGTGAGTAAGTTAAAGGATTCGCATGAGAAAGGCAGGTCCAAAATTGATGAGAAGTCGTTAATTTTAGGTATGCCTGAGGTTGCCTCTGACTTCGATTCGGATGCGATTCTTCTTGACTATCCCAAATACACAGAGCATACTGAGCAATGACACTGGCACCACTGGAATGTGAAGAATTCATCCTTGCCGGAATCTAGTCGAATTATGCGCGGTGATTGACAATTGTTACTCGTAGCTAAGAAATTTGAGATGTATTTTTATTGTACTACTTGAGTCATGGACGATCCAGCACATTGAGCTCCTCTATGACCTTGGCCATACCTGGTGTAGAGCTCCCATTTTCTTTTGTCTCTCGAAATATTATTGATATATCGCCCATAATGAATAACTATTCAGATCAATTTTTACCCGTGGAATCCAGCCACCATTCCCACGGAGCCTTCTATCCAAAAAAATAGAAATGGTAGCAATGGAAACTGCGTGCGCCTGAAAAAGTATCAAAAACCTGCGGCCTCAGCTAGGTGAGGCCTAGACACCGGAGCCACACGAGGTGCAAATATCCATTTAAAGCTCCATTCTTTGTAACATTAGGAGCCGTCTTGATCCAATCCATCACCATCACATAGAGTGCTAGGTGCGCTCCGGAAATTCATCGGATGGCTTTACCTCCATGATTAGAGGTTGATGATGAAAAGGGCTCCGACTCTACCATCTGATCGGATCGTGGTTAGCTTCATGATATTGGTGATAAGAGAATGTGTTGAGAGATGAAGACGAAACAGACGGCGAAAGCTACTCGGAATCCTCGTCGAAGTGAGGATTTTGTCACTCAATCTCGGTTCTGCAGACCCCACAGTGAGAGCTAGAGGTTCGTAGGGGACACCACTTGCAGGTGTTGAGAGTAGTCCTCCTAAGTGGAAGACAAAAACAGGAGTTTAATTATCCATTTCGAGATTCCAAGCTATTTATCACTTGTTCCAGTTTCTTTTGCAACGGTTAGTGCTAGGCATCAGAGACCACCGCTGCTTCAACTGCAAACGGAAGCTTGCCTCATCAAACGCCAGCTACTCCCACTATCATGGGGAAAATCCATCGCACGATAAATTACTCCTTGATCAAATTTAGATATCTAGATAGTAAGAACATAGTAAGGACATGGTAGAATCTTCATACTTTCACTACTCAGCGCCTACTTTCAAATTACAACACTAAGTAAGGCCGCAAGGAGAATAGTAAGATGTGAGGTAAAAAGCTTGGGTTCTGAATTGTGGAGAACGGTTGATCTTATGGGCCTTTTCCACTGAAGGCAGAACAGGCGGCTAACATTTGAAACGAGAGAGGGAAGAGATCTCGAGCGAACATGCCATGACTAAAATTTCTGAGGTGTTTTCGACTTTGGAACATTTGTGTGCACCAAGACGACGGTCACGGGCTCTGAGATGAGAGGACTTCTGATGTCAATGAATCTACCGTTCTCTCTGGTACCCCAGGCGGTACAATAAAGTTGGGCTAAGCTACGATACAGCAACCAAACAATGACAAGATTTCCCTGACATTTCGACACGACTTTCGGGAGAGGGTTAGAGGGAGGCTCGGAAGGCAGAGTATGACTTTCCCGAGTTAACCATAAGCCTGCAGTCTCCAGCTGGTTAGCCTCTTTTAACGCTTCAGAAGGGACAGTACGTCTTTAGATTTAGTCCTAATGTCGGTAGTAGAAGAGCTCCGCAATCGGTAGTTTTTGCGATTTATCCCGACTGCCAGACACCCGCAAATGGCCATTGTTTCGATGGCTGGAGATGGGAGACAATAAAAAGCAAAGGGGCTTTCTTAATGTTTACTTATATTAATATTTCTTGAGGTATTACTGCTGGAAAGAAGTCATCAAGGAGGCATGGATACTTCCGCCCTGTAGGTAGAAAGGACCTACATATCCATATATAGTCACAGAATCAATCGGACAACAAATAATAGACAAGAACAGATCGGTGAAAGAGACTTAAGTAGGGTCTGATGCGAAAGTCATTGAGATATTAGTTCTGCGAACTTGACTAGGACTAGCGGCCTGGACATATAAATTGTAGTCTCCGAACATCACCTAAGCTCGTTGTCACCATATTTCTCCTGCCCATCACACTTTAGTTCAAGCTCGACATAATTTTATTGTCATAGACAGATCGAATTCTGTCAACTCAGGTATTTCTCACACCCTCCACAACATCATATTCGTAGCAGGTTACGAGCTCGGCACCATCCTCTGCAGGCTAAATGGTTAGTGCTAATTGGTTCGCAAAAGGCTATTTCTTATAACCCGAATAAAGACATAATTGATATGAGCAATGAAAATATGGTCATCCTTGGACCAGGGGTCAATTTCGGCGTGTGGAAACTGGATCTCCAAATGGAGCTTGTGAGGTGCGGCCTAATCGGTCACGTCTTTCATGATATCGGAATCCCACCCAAACCTAAGCCAACTGCCCCTGCTCGGACTGAAGGCCAAACTGAAAGTGCATTTATCCAACTCCAGGAAGACTACGAAATAAAGCTAGAGCGATGGACAGAAGGAGAAATTATAGCAAAAGAAGTGATAATGCGAAGGGTGGCATTCGCAGATACACTCCAAAACTTCTGGACAGCCACCGCTAAAGAGCTATATGACGGCATCGCAGCATCGCGAAAAGAGGTGCCTTCTATTCAATACGAGGATGCAATAAGAGCTCTCTTGCGCACTAAAGTGACAACTTCCACAGATGATTACTGTAAAGAGTTTAATAGAAATCTGATGTCGGTGA